CGTATGACGAAATACCGACATACGCATATTACGCTCTCCTATGGGCACACTATTTGTCATAGGAGATTCTTCATATGACAAATATTTGGCGACGTCATACTTCAGGTCCCTTTACAGCATTGAAATTCATCTTGCTTGCTGGTTCCATAATAGCTGCTCCTCAACTCCTATGAGGCGCCCGCAACACACGGGCGCGCCACCACGATACGACACTCACCATGCCCACATACACCACCGTGGGGCGCGCACGCAACCATCGCACACATGTCCACACACTCACACTCACACGCACATACACACACACACACACACACATACACGCACATACCACACACACCACACACAACCACATCACAAACACACACACACACACATCACACACGCTACACACACTGCCCAGCACTTTCTCTCACACTGCTTTCTCTGCGTGCGTGCTGGTGTGCTGTGTAGCATCTACGCGTGAACAAGGCAACGCATGCACGGGCTTCTTACCGCCGGCGCAGACGGGCGGTAGCTGACGGCCTCTCGTTGCCACTGTTATATCATGGTGTCGTCAGGTGCAGCTAGACGACGCTGTTCAGCGTCGCCCAGGCAGCCTGCTGAAACGGAGACAGCAAGGGCCGCCCGACGTCGACCAACCGGCAGGCGCCACCGGCCGCCGCACGCCGCGGCCGACGAAACCGCCCGACGCGACGCCGACGTGAGTAGGAGGCACGCGACGGTATGGGGGGGACAGGGTCTGGTGGGGGAGGGTTGCGGGTGTTTTTGATGGCGGGACGCGGTTCGGAGGGGGCGACAGGGTTGGGATGCTGGGCAGGGTTGGCGTGGTGGGCAAGCGGTGGGGTGGGGGAGGGTTGCGGTGCGCGGCGAATGGCGCTGGGGTGAGTGGCGAGCGCGTCTGGCGCATGCGGGGAGGTGGAGGTGCGGGCGAAGGGTGGGGGTACGGGGAGGGTTGCGATGCGGGGAGCGGTTGGCGCATGGCGGGAAGCGGGCTGGTGGATACGCTGGGTAGAGATGCTGGCGGAGGAGGGCCTGGCGTACGTTGGCGTTAGGAAGATGGGGGAAGGCGGGCGCTGGGTAGTGGGTTAGACGCATGCCGGTGCTGAATTGGGGGCTGGGCGCGTAGTGGTAGAAGATGGAGGAGGGGCGCTGGGGTAGCTGGCGTAGAGATGGCTGGGTTAAGGCGGGCTCGGGGTATGTGGGTAGGAGAGGTGGAGAGGGGCGGCTGAGCGTAGTGGCGATAGCAGATGGGGAAGCGGCGGGCCTGGGGCGTACGTGGTGTAGAGATGGGGAAGCGGGGCTGGTGGTAGTGGTTAGAGATGCGGGATAAGGTGCGGCTGGGTACTGGTAGAGAATGCGGGACAGGCTGGCTGGCGGTATCGTGGGTTAGAGATTGCGGGGAAGGGCGGCTGGGGTTAGTGGGTTAGAGAATGCCTGGAAGGGGCTGCTGGAGTGTGCGAATGTTGGGGAGATAGCGTGGTGGGTGAATGGTGTTAGAGAGGGCGCAGGCGGTGTGGAGCTGGGAAGTTGGCGTAGTAGTGGTGTGGGGATGGCGGCAAGTGAGGAGTAAACTACACCATTATAATATTATTATATTATTGATCTATATATTACTCTATATTAAGGTGTAAATTTTAATTGTGTCTTATAAATAGAAGCGATAGATAGAATGCTGCTGTCATAGAAAGCGAAATGCTGTCTTGGTATATGGCCTTAGATTTGTTCCTCGGTGACGCCATCGTTAAATGAATTCGTTTGCGAACATCGCTGTGTATTCTCTGATGCTCGTGTGTTGTTAGTGTCGTGATGCATTATGGGTGTATTGCCTCGCAGCGAACAGCGGCGGCTCGGGGAAGGAGAACAGACAGAGTAATGTCCGCATCCGCCGCATGGTGGCGCTGTACGACTACGATCCACAGGAGCTCTCTCCCAACGTCGACGCCGAGGTATTAAATTAAACATATTATTTTATTAAATTATAACATAACTTGATTAAATTGACGGCGTTGAATTGATTATTTAATTAAATTTCGGGTTCATTTTATTCTGTGCCAACATCAGAGTACAATTAATAAATAATGAATAATAACTAGTAGATAGTAGGCGCCCCTCGATTCGTACACCGCTGTAGAAAGTCACTTGGTTTCCATATTAGAAAAACACATCTGTGCAGCGGTGATGTTACTGCCTGAATCAAACCCCAATCAACCAATATTTTACATAATTGAATATTAAAAATTAAATACCACGAATCATCACATATAATCGAAAGTAATATTAACATTCTATTGATGAAATAATCCGCACTGCCTCCCGAAAAGAAACGGCGTCCTACGTTTCGTTATTTCGCCGTCAGGTGGAGCTGGTGTTCAACACGGGTGACATCATCTACGTCTACGGCGACATCGACGACGACGGCTTCTTCATGGGAGAGGTCAACGGCATCCGCGGCCTCGTGCCCTCCAACTTCCTGCAGGAACTTCCTCCGGATGCCGAGGTCGTGCACACGTCGACGGGCGGCAGCGGCGGCAGCGGCGGCGGCGGCAGCACGCACGTGGCGCCCCCTGCGTCGGCGATGAAGCAGCCGTCGGCACCGATGCAGAGGGCGCCGGCGCCCAAAGTGAGTCCCCGGCGCAAGTGAGAAGAACCAGGTCAGGGCAGAAACAACGACTCCCATCAGATCTCAGGCATGAGTTCGTATAATACACACACGCGCGATCAGCGCACGCACACGCGCGCGCGCACGCACGTGTATGCTTGCGTCGCTCCTGTCGGCTACTAGCGAGAGAGCGAGGGAGCGAAGGAGTGAGAGAGTGACTCGCTCTTGCTTCTTACATATAGTCTGCAGGCAGTTGCCCAGTTTGGTTCTAGCGTTCGTTTTTTCGTTTACTGCACGTTAGAGTTTGAATTGGAATGGAAAATGTTTTTCGGTCACGGATTTTCTCTTGGTAGATGCTTGGCAGGCAGTACGTCAGTGTGTGTGTGTGTGTGTGTGATAGATGGATCGAGAGAGAGAGAGAGAGAGAGAGAGAGTAGAGAGGAAAGATAGAGAGAGGAGATTGAGAGAGAAGAGGGGTAGAGAGAGCAGAGAGAAAGACAGAGAAGAGAGAGAGAGAGAGAGAGCGGAGAGAGGAGGTAAAAGAGAGAGAGTAGAGAGAGAGAGATTGAGAGAGAGAGAGAGAGAGTAGACCGGAGGGAGATTAGCGAGAGGTCTATGAGAGAGAGAGAGAGAGAGAAGGGGAGACGGAGAGAGAGAAAGAAAGATAGATAGACAGAGAGAGATTGATCGAGAGAAAGAGAGAGAGAGAGAGGGAGAGAGAGAGAGAGAGCAGAGAGAGAAGAGTAAGGAGAGACGGAGAAGAGGAGAAAGTAAGATGGATGCCCGAGAGTAGATTGATCAAGAGAGAAAGAGAGAGAGCGAGTAGACAGGGAGAGAGAGAGAGGTCGAGACGAGAGAGAGAGAGGAGTCAGAGGCGATGAGAGAAAGAGAGAGTAGAGAGAGTCAGAGCGAGAGAGAGAGAGAGAGATAGCATGTAGTTGAGAGAGCAGAGAAAGAGAGAGAGAAGAGAAAGGAATGAGAAAGAGTGCAAGTTGAGAGAAAGAATGCGCTGATGCTGCGTCTTGCACGTGCCGTGACGTCATCTACCGACCAGGCCGCCGCTGCCGCCGCCGCCAATTGCCTGAATCTGAATGACGAACGCTTTTATTTTTCATTCAGTTCTTTGCATCTATGACACATAGCGAGTGCCTCGCCCGCGAGTGTGAGACGCGTTAGTAGTGTCCTGAGAACGTCTGATTTACGTTGTTGTTTACGCCTTGGCCAGACAGAGGGCGCGCGCGTCGCAGTAGTAAGCGATTGCCGACCGTACTGGCGAGTCTAGGTAAGGGATTTGTTTCCGATTCTCTTCTTAACACCACGAAGCGGGCACGTCTGTCTTCTTTTCCTGTCGAAAGTACGCTTCCGCGCGTGTCGAGCAACGTTCAATTGTTTCGTCTCGACGCGGGTGTTGTGGCAGCACGATCGCGAACAAGTGAACACTGGCACGTCGGATGGGTACTTTCGTCTAGCTATTTTTTTTAGCTAATAGAAGCTACATAGTTTTATGCAACGAGGCATTAGGCTCGTAGATCTTAGTTAGAGCTAATGGACTTAGTTGAGCTAATGACGTAGTTAGCACGTTGATAAATATAACGTAAAATTAGTTTAAGATTTTGCCGCGCGTGCGTAGCGCCATCACGTTTTCAGCAGCCAATAGATTTTCGCTGCGCAGGTCATGTGCCACGAAATCCACCAAAATCGGTATATATATATATATATATAGGTATGTGTATGTATATATATGATGGCGAATGCGTGGCTCGCAGATTTGATGCATGGTGCGGCAGTGCGGTGTAAAGTATTGGCTGGTGACAACGGTGCTGCTCCTGTTCGTGAATAGAGAGCTTCAGAGAGAAACCCCGTGAAGATATGCATATATCCTCACCATCGTCAGATTCTCCCGTTTCTTCTCTCCTCTCTCCTCCCCTCCCCACCTTCTCCCCCTGCCTCCCATCTCCTTTCCTCCCCAGCTCCTCCCCTTCCCTCCCACCTCCTCCCCTTCCCTCGCCTCCATTCCCCCTTACCACACCCTGCCCTGAGACGCTGCCTCCACACTGCCTCTGTCTACGTCTCAATCAAGTCTGAGGTACCGGACCCACGAGACCCCAGTCCCCTGTCTCAACTGCGAATGAATCTTAGTCCTAATCTCAGCCGAGTCTCAACTGGTCATAAGTCCCCAGCCTCTTACTTCTTTAGGTCCTTCACGCTCACGCTCGGAGTCCCCAGCCCTCTTATCTAGGCTCCTTCAGCCTGTCAGCCTGCGCCATCCCAGCTCTCACCCTAAGTCCCAACTTTCTCACCCGCTGAGTCCTCCTAGGATCTTACCTGGCGCAGTGCCAGATGCCTCACCTGCTGTCCCCAAAGCCTCCACGCTGAGTCCAGATTTCACCTTCGAGTCACATTCTCACGAGTTTGAACGCTTCAGCGACGGACTTCTCGCGTGCCTGCGCCGTGCCCCGGTGCGCGAACCGACGCGCACTCCCCTGCCGCCAGATGGCGCTAACCTCGGCCGTCGTCGGCGCCTCGCTTGCAGATCCTGAAGCAGCCAGACTCGAACAACGTCGCCAAACTAGACAGGAGCAGCTCGCCCTGCCAGAAGGAAGTCATATTCGTCGACGACCCGGGGAGCCCTCTGCGAGGCGGTCCCTCTCCCAGCGACGGCAAGAAGAAAGGAATATTCTCCTTGTTTCGGCGGAAGTGAGCGCGACGGGGGAAGCCACCGGTGACGGCAAGAGGCAGGGAATGTTCCTCTTGTTTCGGCGGAAAGCCTCGCGCAGGGCGGGCTGCGGGGGCGGCGCCACCGGCGCACAGACGATGCTGGCGTCGTGCGTTCTTCTGTGAGAAGAAAGCGGCCGAACGGACGTGTAATCGTCGCGACTAACTCAACGCCGACGCGTTGCCATGACGACACGACGCTTCCAGGGACACTGCCCCCACCGCCATTCGGCGGAATCCCCCACCTGCCCAACAACGCGCCCTCCCCCTCGAGGCGTGCCGTTGCGTCATACAGGGTAAATCTCGGGCGAGGGGGAGGGGACGTGCACAGTGTGTGTCCGGGCGCGTTACCCCATGATTGTCTGTCCTTCTCATGATTCGCGTGCACTGAGACGACGATGACGGCCAGTGAGATGATTCACCAGCAACATACAGTCGTTCAATACCTTCGTCTCCAGCTTCCTCCCTTCGCTGACTGTAAACTCTTCCAGCACGATGGCAGCACGCTCCCGTCACCACTCCTTCGCTCCAGAACTCTCTCCCCCGCCTATTCCTCTAGAAATCATCAGAGATTTTCGTTCTGCCAGCTGAATCGCAGACCACCGTGCGAGAGGAGGTTTTCGATTTGCCAATCGGGACGCGACGCTTTAACGAATTCCTGTAACACTTCCTTCCTACTATATAAAAATGTAAGGCAGAACAGTGTTAATGTGCCGCAGAACAGCGCCCGCGTACAGTTCACATGCCGGGTCTGCCCGATGATGCTAGAAATGTAAAGTAGTGAATCTACAATTCACCCATTGCTATTGACTGACGTCACACGTGTATCGTCAAGTTTTTGTTAATTCAGCGCGTAGTGGTTGCTCCGAAACAATGAATTATTATTACATCGTTATTAGGCATCATGATAACATTATAATTCGTTTGATTAATCTGTGAACTATAAATGATTCGAAAGTCAATACGCCCCCCGCGGATCATATTTTCTAGGCTGAAATTACTCGTTTGTATACGATTTCTTCCAATTGCAATGCTGAAGGAACTTCCAGCGCGATTGCATACCCGTACGGGGGAAACGAGAACCAATGTTGATTGCTAGCTATTCCACTGCCGGAACTGTGTACCATGATATACATCCCACCCTTGACAAAAGTCCCTCCATCCACATCACGCATGGGCATAGGCATGTCTAGCGGGGCGCGTTGCGCATGCGCACACAGATTTGACCTTAATTGCCCATGCGTAATATAGACGGGGAACGTTTGCCATGGGTAGGAAGTATAGCATGCTGCAGCTGCATAGAATCACTCGCGTAGCTAGCAACTGATCGCACTATGGATATCACTTCGTATAGAGATGTCATCCCATGAATATTGTATTAGAGCTCGGTACGTGTTAGAACACCGTTTTTTCTCGCACTCGCTCAAAAATGTCCACTTTACGCCCACTTAGTTACGAGCAGCGTTTTTAGAACGCCACTACCACAACGCTGATTGGCTAATAGAACGGCTTGTCAATCTCTGAATGAGTGGATAGCTCACTTGTTTAAAAATACAGACGAGTCTGACCAGACCTCACTCCACCAGAGAGCGTGCTGATACCTGTAACCTTAGCAGCCGGCTGAAAAGTGCGATAGGATATGTTTACTAGGCACTTCTAATTTTAACATATATTTACGAATATATTAAAAGAATGAATGCCAAAAACCCTAAAAAGTGCCCTAACCTAACCCTAACCCTGACCTAACCCTAACCCTAACCCGTAACCCTGACCCTAAGTAAATTTTTAAATATATGTTTTAAAATTTAGACGAGTCGCCGGGAGTAAACATATCCTATCGCACCTTTCAGCCGGCTGCGTAACCTTACAACAACAACAACAACGTCATGCAAATAACAGAAGCGCAGATATGAGTAGATCCAGAAAGGTGTGCCCGGGGCTTGTGTAGGTGGCGTGGATGAAAACGCATTTTTAAACACATAGTTTAGTCTTTGTATTGGAACATTATTAATTATAAAATTGTCCCTGCTTACTTTCATTCCCCGTCCTTTCATCTCTCGCTCACTTCTTGTTCGTCGTTGTCTCATTCTATACCGCTTACACACTCTGTCTATCTCTCTGTTTCTCTCACGCGAGCTATACAATTAAACGCTCATGCACGCACACAAGACTGCCCCACCCACACACATTCTTATTGTTACTTTAAATTTAGATTGCTTCAGTAAATTCTTATTAAAACATAGTATCACCATGCTGTAGGAAGAGGACAGAGAGTAGAGAGAGACAGAGAGAGACAGCAGAGAGAGACGACGAAACGAGAGAGAGAGACGACACCCGGAGAGAACGAACAGACGCGAGAGAGGGCGAGGAGGAGAAGAGAAATGGAGAGAGACCAGAGACGAGAGGGCAGACGAGAGCGAGCGCAGCGGCGAGACGAGAGACAAGAGACAGAGACAGTCAAAGCAGAGAGAGAGAAGAGAAGAGGGGAGGCGAGGAATCCCATACGGCCGTACGCTCGCCCGACAAGATAACCTATGATTTCCATCCACACCTCTTATCCCACCTGTATGTCAGTTATCTTCAGTACGAAAGTGCAGGTCAGCCTATTCAGACAAATAAGCGCACATCTGTATATACGCCATGTGGCACATACATGCAGCCGTTGGTTCATTGTGTAGCATAGGGCGCAAGTAGTAGTAGTAGGTAGATCTTAGCCACTAGAAGCGCTTCTCATGTACAACTGCTAAGCATATTTGAATATTTAGAATTCATGTTTATTATCATTATTCAAATGAATTTTTTTGGTGCGCCGCGCTATCCGTAGGTGGCCCATAATGTACTTGTGTTATAGCAGTGCGTCTGGCGCCATGATGTTTCTGTCGCTCTGTGTATTTGTAAACTTACCAAACCGCGGCTGTAGTACGTTATACGAGTAACCTGTGCTTCGGTGGCGTCTCTGCGGTATTTCTGCTTCGTCTGCATTTGTCAAGAAAAATGTGAGACAAGCAGGCGTTGCACAGAAGTAACGCACGCACGCCCACGCACGCACACACGCGGGGCACACACACACACACACACACGCGTCGGGCACACAACACACAGCACCACACACACACACAACACGCACACACCACACACAATGTACACATATACGCATTACACGCACACACCAACACACACACACACACAACACACACACACACACACACACACTTACACGCGCCACACACACATACAACACACATACACACATACACACACTAACATCACACACACCACACACCACAACACACAACACACACACACACACACCACACACAGCACACACACACACACACACACACACACACACACACACACACACTCACCACACACACACACACACACACACACACACACACGACGCTCAGAGAGAGAGAGAGCAACGACGACTGAGAGAGAGAGAGAGATGACGACGAGAGAGAGGAGAAGAGAGAGAGAAGAGAGAGAGATGAGCACCGCGACGAGAGCAGAGGGGGGGGGGGGGAGGGGGGGGTGGGGGGGGGGGGGGTCGAGAGGGGGGCCGGGGGGGGGGGGGGGGGGGGGGGGGGGGGGGGGGGGGCGGGGGGGGGGGGGGGGGGGGGGGGGGGGGGGGGGGGGGGGGGGGGGGGGGGGGGGGGGGGGGGGGGGGGGGGGGGGGGGGGGGGGGGCGGGGGGGGGGGGGGGGGGGGGGGGGGGGGGGGGGGGGGGGGGGGGGGGGGGAGGCGGGGGGGGGGGGGGGGGGGGGGGGCGGCGGGGGGGGGGGGGGGGGGGGGGGGGGGGGCGGCGGCGGGGGGGGGGGGGCGGGCGGTGGGTGGGGGGGGGGGGGGGGCGGGGGGGGGGGGGGCGGGGGGGGGGGGGGGGGGCGGGGGGGGCGGGGGGGGGGGGGGGGGGGGGGGCGGGGGGGGGGCGGGGCGGGGGGGGGGGGGGGGGGGGGGGGGGGGGGGGGGCGGGGGGGGGCGGGGGGGGGGAGGGGGGGGGGGCGAGGGGGGGGGGGGGGGGGGGGGGGGCGGGGGGGGGGGGGGGGGGGGGGGGGGGGGGGGGGGGGGCGGGGGGGGGGGGGCGGGGGGGGGGGCGGGGGGGGGGGGGGGGGGGGGGGGGGGGGGGGGGGGGGGGGGGGGGGGGGGGGGGGGGGGGGGGGGCGGGGGGGCGGGGGGTTGGGGGGGGGGGGGGGGGGGGGGGGGCGGGGGGGGGGGGGGGGGCGCGCGGCGGGGGGGGGGGGGGGGGGGGGGGGGGGGGGGGGGGGGGCGGGGGGGGGGGGGGGGGGGCGGGGGGGGGGGGGGGGGGGGGGGGGGGGGGGGGGGGCGGGGGGGGGGGGGGGGGGGGGGGGGGGGGGGGGGGGGGGGGGGGGGGGGGGGGGGGGGGGGGGGCGGGGGGGGGGGGGGGGGGGGGGGGGGGGGGGGGGGGGGGGGGGGGGGGGGGGGGGGGGGGGGGGGGGGGGGGGGGGGGGGGGGGGGGGGGGAGGGGGGGCGGGGGGGGGGGGGGGGGGGGGGGGAGGGGGGGGGGGGGGGGGGGGCGGGGGGGGGGGGCGGGGCGGGGGGGGGGGGGGCGGGCGCGGGGGGGGGCGGGGGGGGGGGGGGGGGGGGGGGGGGGGGGGGGGGGGGGGGGGGGGGGGGGGGGGGGGGGGGGGGGGGGGGGGGGGGGGGGGGGGGGGGGGGGGGGGGGAAGGGGCGGGGACGAGAGAGGAGAGAGAACACATACATATATAACATACGTAAACCAATTTTTTCTTAAAAAAAAACCAATACATACATACATTACAATACAATACATACATACTCATAATACATACATACAACATACTAATACATACATACATACATACATACATACATACATCATACCATTACATACATACTACATATCATACCATACCATAACAGTACATACCATACATATCATACATACACTACATACACTACATACATAGCAATACATATACATAACATGTACACCTTTTCCGATACATTTACACACCGGCTGTATTCTGGGTGATAGTATTTTCCTTCTGTGGGAATCGTGGTTAAACGCCGTGGCTTTGCCCCACGATCCGGAGATAACGCACGCAGTTGTTAACGGCTTCCTGGAATCCAGACGACTCGCACAAGGAAGATGGCAACTCAAGCAGTGAACTCCGCACCAGCTAACACCGAGGGCGCACACCTAACTACCGGCTGCCTGTTACATTACGCCCGTCGTTAGCTTCGTCCCCTGCGC